CCCTCACCCCGGCCCACACACCTTCCGGGTCACAGGGCAGCCTGGCGATGTCGTCGCCGCCGCGAGGTCATGTCCGGCCCGGAAAAGAAAAGAACAGCGGGACTGAAAGAAAGCCCGCAGGGGGGGGGGGAGAAGCCCGCGCGCCTCCCTAGCGACACAACAGGTGGCTCGCGGGGCACGTCGCCGCCACAGCCCCAGCAGCGGGGCCCCGCGCTATAGCTGGTCGGGAGCACACGGCAGGGCGGAGGAGGAGGAGGAGGGTGCGAAACCGCAACGACTACTGCAAAAGGCGAGAGTGGCGATCAGAGAGCAACAAGACGTTCGACCCGGTTCGACCGGCGCGACCGGTCACTCGGCTCGCGCGCGCGCCACTCGCCTTTTCACTTTGCTTTCGCCGGCTATATGGCCGGTCTTCACCTGGTGTGGTTCGCAAAGGGGGGGGGGGGGGCTTTAAAGGGGCCCCCATACCCCCCCCCCCCCCCCCCTAGCCCGGGCCCACGGTGGCGTGCGCGCACGGCCGCCCCGCAGGGAGTGGTTCGGGAGCGGCTATTATTTTATAACCGTCAATAAAGGCGACGGAACGCAAAGCAACCCCGCGGCCCCACGCGCCGGTCTCGTGGCGCACACCGTACTGCAGGCAGGGAATGCCCCCCCCCCCTCCCCTCACACCACCACTGTGGCGTGCGCGATGGTTCCTCTTTCCTCTTCCACCCCTCCTCGTCTCTCTGCACACTCTCCAATATCTTCAGTATCTAAGTATTGTATTGTACAATGGACGAGTGTTGTCGTTTTTCGCAACTTGAAGAACTTGTCAATGTCATTGCAAATCGCTGTAACAGTGAGTAACCTATACGTCAGTTACAAAGAGGCAAATCATGGTCTGGCAGTACCTCGGGCAGTATTGAAAAATTACACACGGTAAACAGACCTCGCAAAAGTCAAACATCATTGACCGTCATTGAGTCGCACGCCTCCCCCATCCCACCTCACACCCCTTACCCAGCACTCCACGCCACTCTATACACCTTCGCCCCCCCCCCCACACTCACCGCCCTTGCGTGTTGTGTGTGTGTGCGCGCGCGCCCGATGGCCTCGCAGCGGTAGGAACCCCACGGCCGGAGCCCGGGCATATACTGCCTGCTTTAAGGGCCGCATAAAGCTCCTATTGTTAACCCTTATCACTCTAATTGTGAATAAAACGATTGCTGCATGTTGTTGTTGTTGCAGATCACGTGCGGAGCTTCTCCTGCGGCCGGCAGTACTACCGCTCCATGTACCTGGACGAGGAGCGGGACGCCCTCTTCCTCGGCGCCATGTGAGTTTCGCGATGTAGTTATTTCGCGCACAGAGTCGTCACGGCGTCTGCGGTTTGGTGGTATGAATTAGAAACTGTGGCGGGCTGGCCATCAAAGATCAGCCAAATGTTGTCGGGTTAAGGGTTGCGAAGACGACTTATCAATAAACTTTTATACATTTTTTGCCATCTGTTTCTATTGGTTTTGATGGAGAGGAAGGGGGGGAGGGAAAGCCGAACCGGAACCGCCAGGACACCAAGTGTCCCGCGCGCACATTGCGCACTTGAGCGGGCACGCCAACTCGATAGCCGCCGGTGATACTGGCGCGCGCGCGCGCGGCGGGCGCTGGCTACACGCTGGTAAAACACAACTATCGCGTCGGATCCGTAATAGTGACATCTGTTTGATGTGACCCGACGAAGCCCCGGCGATGGCCCCGCCCGCGAGCGAGTGTCGCAACAGCGCCGCGCTATATTGCCGTTGGTTTTTTTATTTCGTGTTATTTTTCATCGGTCAAAACTGTCCCGCGGTTGGGCGCTGCGCTGCCGGTGGGATCTACCGATGAATCACTATACGCCATGCCGTGCGCGACACGTTGGCGTGCGGGGCCCCCTGACTTCCTCCCCCATGTCTTCATCCCCTCCCTCCCTCCCTCCCTC